ATATATATATATGGTGTATATGTCTATGTGTATATACCTACACTCACAAACACAAATTACATGTAATCCTAGGAATATAATTCATTTAAGTGGTATGTGTGATTGCATACACATAGCCACCTTTCAGATCCACATATAGAACTTTCCTAACACTCAGAAGTTCTCCCCTCAAGATCATCATTGTTCAGACTTTTGTCACTGTAGTTTGTTTTTTGCCTGTCCGCTAGTATTTTAGAAGTTTAATCACAACATCTCGTTTCTCTTGCCAAACATTATGCCTAACAGTTCTGACCATGTTTTTGCATCTAGACAAGGTTTGAAAACATATTCTATCTGCCTTAGCAGAAGAAAATAATTTCTAGGTCTGTTTATTTTGCATGTGACTGATTCTTTCCTCTTCATCTGCCACGTTCCCTGTCCCGGTTAGAAGTTGAAAGCATAGGAAGGTAGGAGTGAACAAGTATCATTTATATTCCAATGTGGTAGAGAGACAAAGAGCCTTGACTTAGTGTATTAGCGTGCCATAGCACGTGGCATGAGCCAGAAAGACTGGAAAAGTCACACTCTACTCCTATAATTAGTTTTTAAACCTCAGAGGGCTATTTGGTACATGGATGAATATAGAATGCACTGCCCTTTGTATTGAGTAAAGGTTATGTTCCCTTCATTACTAAACGAGGCCTTTTCCTATTCTTATTTTTTAACGAAAAAAAAAAATAAAATGTATTATTTCCAAGCTCAATTTTGAATAGAGGAAAAAATAGGTCAACCAGGGCTTTAATAGAAAAAAGAAAAATAGCAACTATCCTTTTGTTTCCAAGGAAGCTGAAAGCAGGCTTTCTAGTCCATTGTCTTTGCACCTGTCATATACATATATATTTATCCTTTTGAAATCAATGAATATCACTGATGAAAGCAGTCCTGTTTTTTAGAGATGTAATTAGCAGGAGAGGTAAGATGTTTGATGAAATAAAGGGCAGTCCACAAGAGTTATATAGGCATTAGGGAAGCCATATCTTAGAAAAACTGTCCCCAAACTGTTAACCATCCTTTTACTGTGGGCGGTAGACTTGCAAAGAATAAGAATCACTTCTCTAGAACCAGACTAGAAAATTCTTAACTGGAAAGTTGTCATCAGCAAGACTAACACTAGTTGTCAGGTGACAAAAGTAAAGGAATATATAAAACCTACTAATAATCTTGACCACTAGAAGACAGAAAATATGGATATAAAGAATGAAGTCTCTGGAAAGATATCACAGTCAATGACAGTAAGAGTTGATAATACCCTTAACTCTGAGTTTTCAGATACTATTACTCCCCATCAATAGACGCAACTGAGGTGCAGGAAAACTACTTACCTCCCACAAGTTCATAGAGGCACTAGCTGACACAGCTAGAATTTGAGCCCAGGGAATCTGGCTCCTGGAGCGACCACCCTACGTTCAACCAGCTTAAAAATGGGTCTGGAATCTGAAAACACGTTTGAGGATTTATGTCCATTAATCACCATAATTTTGGCTGTCTACTCATTTAATGCTAATGTCACAAAAATTATCTAGGTTTGTCATGAGCACCATCTAAGTTTTGTTTGTTATTATTTCTCTAAACACATTGACTGCTTGTCTTGAGCCACTCACCCATTTGGCTTTGAGTTGTTTCTTTCTTGGCCATTGCGAATACTGCTGTGAGCAGAGGCAGGAGGAGAGGGACATAGATCTTGTAAAATTAACTTTTATGTATTTTTAAGATAAATAGAAGTAAGATAGCTAAATTATGATATTTCTTCTCTTAATTTTTTTTTGAGGACTCTGTACTATTTTCTGTGATGGCAGCACCAATTTACATTCCCATCAGCAGTGTACAAGTGTTCCCTCCATATCCTCACCAATGCTTGCTATTTCTTGTCTTTTTTAAAGATTTATTTTCATTTATTTATATATATAAGAACTGGGGTGTAGGCCAGAGTTCCGGGGGGGGGGGCAGTGTGGAGCAGTTAGAGGATTCACCAGAGACAGAGTGGGGAGCAGAGCAGACAGCTTGACTGAAACACACTGCTGAGGGGAACAGCAGGCGAGACAGGAGAGGTCAGCTGCCTGGCTGGGAATCACACTTATGCCACAGTGTTTGGTGATAGCTTGATACTCCTAAGACTTTAACCTCTGTGCCACCAGGAAAGCCCTATTTTTTGTCTTTTTAAATAATTGCTGTTCTTACAGGTGTGTTCGGTGATAACTCCTTATGGTTCTGATTTGCATTATCCTAATAATAAAAGATGATGAACTTCCTTTCATGTGCCTGTTGTCCATCTGTCTCCTTGGAGTGGTGTCCATTCTAACCTCTGTCCACTTTTAAGTCTGATAC